GCGCAACGCCGCATATTACACGCCGTCATTGAGTGAGTAGAGTAGAGGAAGGGAGCAAATTAAAAAAAAAAAGTCGTCAACTAGGAATTAACATTAATTTTTTTTTTTTTTTTTTTTTTTTAACAAAAGACCCCATATGACCAACGACAGGTTATGTAGTTTCACTTATAAATTCGACCGGAAAATAGCAGAAGTTATTAATCGTTGCTTATATTTTCAGCCTATGTTATCCTCAGCACTGTGTCATCTGCATATGCTATGTTGGTAATATTTTGACTACCAATAATTAATCCTGCTAGAAGTTCTAATTCTCTCAGAATCGCCTCGCTGCATAGGTTGAATAAATCCGGTGAGAAGACACATCTTTGTCTTACATCACTTTTTATTTTTGTATATATGCTAAACTCGTTTTCTATCCTAATGAATGTGGTTTGCTGCCAGTAGAGGTTAACGATTATTTTAATATTCTTCCCAAATATGTAAAGGTTGCTGACCAGTTCCAATAGATCTTTCTGGCATACTTTATCAAATGCCTTTGCATAATCTATAAAACGCGGGTACATGTCTTTCTGTATTTGTATTACTCTTTCTGATAACACTGTGAGCATAAATATTGTATTCCTCATTACAGTGTCTTTGATAAGCAAGCACTGTTCTTGTCCTACTTCCAGTATGATTCACCTGCAGACTTCGTCGTTGCTCACGTATTCAGTTTGGTTTGGTTTGGTTACTTTTAAGGCATATCAACCTCAATGGGTTATTTAATGCCGATCAGATTTTTACTGTTGCTAATGTTTCCACGACCCCGCAAAAATGTATTGCTGGTAATATTTTTTTTTATCTATCTATCTATCTATCTATCTATCTATCTATCTATCTATTTCAGTATATATTGGTTTGGTTTGCTTTGTTTTACGGCATATCAACACCTCAATGGGTTATTTAATGCCAACAAGATATTTTTGCTGGTATTTTTCTCCGAAATATACTATTGCTAATACTTTTTCAAAAAACTGTATTGCTGATGACATTTTTTCATTTCAAAGATATACTGCTGATAATATTTTCTTTCCAAAAATGTATTGCTGGTGAATTTTCCCTTTTCAAAAATGTATTTCTGGTAATAAGCTTTTCAGAAATGTATTGCTAGTAATAATGTATAGCTGATAATAATTTTTTCTTTAGAAATTCATTGCTTGTAATAATTTTTCACAAAAATGTATGGCTGGTAATAAAACCTATTTTTACTCGTTTTGACACCAGTTTGGGGGTTAACTATTTGCCTATAGCTAGGACCCTGACAGATGCTACCACCTCGGGTCAGGGTGAACCTGCGAACACTACCAATTTAGAGGTGATTCCACTCTCCTCTAAACCTCCTGGTCAGAGGCTTTGCTGTCGGGTGTAGTTTATCGTCTTACCCAGGACGCGGTTGTAGTTTATAGTCATACGCAGGACAGTCGTATTCAGTGCATGGTATCCTCAGCAACCTTCTGTAGAATGACATTTCTGTTGCTTCAAATCTTTGTTTCATCTGTGATAAGAATGTCCAGGTTGCACTACCATATAAGAGGGCCGATATTACATAACACTTCAATACCCTTTTCTTTTTTTCTAATGAAATTTTCTTGTTTATTAATACTTTGCTTACCTTTTGAAAGGCATCTTTAACTATCTCAATGCACCTTCGGATTTCTGTGTTACCTATTTGAATCGTAAGTTAAAACACTTCCTAGCTATTTAAATTTGGTATCTACAATTTGTAATTGGCATGTTTGATTGTACCTTTTGTGGAATACCATAGATTGTGTCTACTTACAGTTGACGGTTAATACCTTCTCGTTTTCCTTTACCGTTTTCTTAAACGGTAAAGATATACGGTAAAATATATAGCGGTGAAATATATAGTAGTAAAATATATAACGGTAAAATATATAACGGTAATATCAAGAACCCCGAAGCAAACAGTAGGGGCCCCAGACCATATATGGCCGCAATACTCCATGCAAGGGCGAATGGTTGATTTGTAGATTTGAAGGATCGATTCCGAGGAGAAAAATTTCCTGGCGCGGCACAGGGAACCAACTTTCCTTGCGGTGGACGAAGCAATTGACTCAATTTATTTGTTCCATCTCAGGTCAGCAGACAATGTGAGACTGAGCAGCTGCAGAGAGGTGCTCTCGGGAATTTAAGCGTCAGACATTCTAATGGGGAACAGGGAAGGATCTCTGTGGTGCTTAATAGAGAGCAGTTTTGTTTTTGAGGCGTTAAAGTTAACCAGCCAATTCCTGCGCCAGTTCACAACCGATTGGAGGTCCTTTTCGAGACGAACGGTCAGGTTAGTTTTGTCATCGACACTAGATTTGTTTTTGAGGCAGTAGTAAATTGTAGTGTCGTCCGCGTAGATGCCTACTTGGGAATCAATGGATATAACGGTAAAAATATATAACGGTAATATATATAACGGTTAATATATATACAGGTAAAAATATATAACGGTAAAAATATAACGGTAGAATATATAAAGGTAAAAATATATAACAGTAAAATATATAGCAGTAAAATACATAACGGTAAAAATATATAACGGTAATATATACAACGGTAAAATATATAACGGTAAAAATATATAACGGTAATAATATATAACGGTAAAATATATACAGGTAAAATATATAACGGTAAAATTATATAACGGTAGAATATATAAAGGTAAAAATATATAACAGTAAAATATATAACGGTAAAATATATAACAGTAAAACATATAACGGTAAAAATATCTAACGGTAAAATATATAAATAGTGCGATATATAACGGTTAAATTTCTGAAACGGTTAAATTCAAAAACTTCTATTACTTAAAATACAAAAAATAACAGAAATTTAGTCCTCAAAATAAACTAAAATAAATAATGATTACATTAAAGAAATTTAACAGTAACATTTACTAATTAGGCAGTAAAATTACATCATTTAGCGTCTTCCATCTTCTTGACTTTCACTGAGCCTGAAGATTGCTTTTAAGCATGAAACAGACTCATCGCTGGGTGGTGATCTCAATGTTCATTATATATATATATATATATATATATATATATATATATAAAGAACAGTAAGATATATAATCCAATAAAGTTGTATTTACAATTGTAGTTAAATAAAACGAATTCTAACATAAACATCTTTTAAAATTGTTGTTAAATAAAACGTATTCTAACCTAAACACCTCTCTCCAAGTACTACAAGAATTTACAAGAATCCTATAAAACACCTACAGTAAAATGAAATTATGACGAAAAGCTAGAAGATGTAATCCATTGAATGACCCATGTCCTTTGTACTTACATGTGAAGCTATATATTACTAGGTTTATAAAAAATAAAAGTTTACTAAATCAGAGAAATGAATTAGCTATTTTTGCGGTCATTGTCATAAATTTTACTTAAATAATATTTAAATATAAATTTTTTTAAAAATTGTGACCTGTTAATATACATACTTATACTTGATGTGAAAATAATTTTACATACTGTAAGTAATTCTAATACATTTACTTGTTTTAAAAAGAAATATAGTATATTAAAAATTAAAAGGGAAAATATTTTTAAAATCGTAGTTAAATAAAACGTATTCTAATCTAAACACCCACAAAAATCTTTAAGTATACAAATAGAAAAAAATGCCGTATAATTTTTGTCTTTAACAATAATTTAAAAAAAAATCCAGACTATAAGCATTTAATGGATGCCAGAATTCATTGAAAAATACATCCCTACCCCTACCAAAACGTAACTAATAACTGATACAACAAATTACAGCGATAATGAACACGCAACCACCCCTTGTCTGGATGAATGCGTTTCTCTGTATCGTCGGAAACGTGAATTATGAATTTTTGCAGTGCCTTTAAAACCCAGTAATTTTAAAAATTAGTTACTCCAAAATTCGCTTGAGGATGAAAGGGAACTAATGTCTTTAATTTAATTACAAAATTAAATTCGAAGCTTTTTAGCTTCCATTTTGAAACATGGTTAGAACTGTGTAGCGAAAAAAACATATTTTAAATCAATTAATTTATAATATATATATATATATATATATATATATATATATATATATATATATATATATATATATATGCACTTTATCTATATATCTGATATTGAGCAATTTAACTCATAAATGCCTTAAAACTATATTTTTTATTGTAATGCCCTGTAGTTCACGTTAAGCTCTCCCTGGATTTATATCCTCCTTGGAATTATCCCTACCAGTGAGAAATTGGTAATATTTATTACATACACACACACACATACATACATATGTGTGTGTGTGTGTGTGTGTGTGCGTGCGTGTGTGTGTGTGTGTTTCGATTAATAAGACCGACAAGTTATCGTTAATTAGTTTTCTTTTAATAGATATTTCTTTTATGTGCGCAAGTGTTCTTTTTCTGGGACTTAATTAGCGCAAAAATGAAAATAAATCTTTGGTCATTTCTACAAACCAGTGTCTAATTTGTTTTTTTTTCTACTTCAACCAACTTACACATCGGATCAGGACTGCTGCACCATATAATAGATAGATAGATATATAGATAGATAGATAGATAGATAGATAGATAGATAGATAGATAGATAGGAGTAAATTTGATATTTATTGTAAAGGAAAAGAATAGATAGATAGATAGATAGATAGATAGATAGATAGATAGATAGATAGATAGATAGATAGGAATAAATTTGATATTTATTGTAAAGGAAAAGGATAGATAGATAGATAGATAGATAGATAGATAGATAGATAGATAGATAGGAATAAATTTGATATTTATTGTAAAGGAAAAGGATAGATAGATAGATAGATAGATAGATAGATAGATAGATATAGATGGAGTAAATTTTATATTTATTGTAAAGGAAAAGAATAGATAGATAGATAGATAGATAGATAGATAGATAGATAGATAGATAGATAGAAAAGGATAAATTTGATATTTATTAAATTTGATAAAGGAAAAGGATAGATAGATAGATAGATAGATAGATAGATAGATAGATAGATAGATAGATAAATTTGATAGATATAGATAGATAGAATAAATTAGATAGATAGATATTTATTTGATAAAAAGGAAAATATAGATAGATAGATAGATAGATAGATAGATAGATAGATAGATAGATAGATAGAATAAATTTGACATTTATTGAAATATAGATAAATAGATTCTGAACAGATTGGAGATAGATAGATAGATAGATAGATAGATAGATAGGAATAAATTTGATATTTATTGTAAAGGAAAAAGGATAGATAGATAGATAGATAGATAGATAGATAGATAGGAATAAATTTGATATTTATTGTAAAGGAAAAGGATAGATAGATAGATAGATAGATAGATAGATAGATAGATAGATAGATAGATAGATAGATAGATAGATAGATAGGAATAAATTTGACATTTATTGAAAAGGAAAAATATAGATAAATAGATAGATCTGAACAGATTGAGATAGATAGATAGATAGATAGATAGATAGATAGATAGATAGATAGATAGATAGATAGATAGGAATAAATTTGATATTTATTGTAAAGGAAAGGATAGATAGATAGATAGATAGATAAGATAGATAGATAGATAGATAGATAGATTTAGATAGATAGATGGATAGATAGATAATAGATAGATAGATAGATAGATAGATAGGAATAAATTTGATATTTATTGAAAGGAAAAGGATAAGATAGATAGATAGATAGATAGATAGATAGATGGGAGTAAATTTGATATTTATTGTAAAAAGGAAAAGAATAGATAGATAGATAGATAGATAGATAGATAGATAGATAGGAATAAATTTGATATTTATTGTAAAGGAAAAGGATAGATAGATAGATAGATAGATAGATAGATAGATAGATAGATAGATAAATTTGAATTTATTGTGTAAAGGAAAAGAATAGATAGATAGATAGATAGATAGATAGATAGATAGATAGATGATGGAATAAATTTGATATTTATTGTAAAGGAAAAGGATAGATAGATAATATAGATAGATAGATAGATAGATAGATAGAATAGATAGAATAGGAATAAATTTGATATTTATTGTAAAGGAAAAGGATAGATAGATAGATAGATAGATAGATAGGAATAAATTTGACATTTTTATTGAAAAGGAAAATATAGATAAATAGATAGATCTGAACAGATTGAGATAGATAGATAGATAGATAGATAGATAACTTCTGACTGAGACAGTTATAAAGAGGAATAAGGTTAGATTGATAGATGAAATGGAATCAAGTAAATATCAAATATGGCTCAGAATCTAACAGAATAATAACATCCCTTCGAAATTCCAAGAAATTAACGGATTCCAAGTGTAACTGAAAAAAAAAACGTAAATATTGCTTTATGCATGTAAGTGTATGATAATTCTAATTGGTCTATGTGAGATCCAGATGATAATGTAGATTCGTAAGTGTGTGTGTGTGTGCGCGCATGAGTGTGTGAGTGGTGTATGTGTCTGTTTGTGTATGACTGGTAGACATGATGTTTTGCTGGTCGTCACATGTTGATTTAGGAACGTTTTTTACATAAATACGTTAGATTTTTAAGAATGGGTTCAATAAAGTTGGATGATGTAATACAATGTTTTTGAAGCGTGTTTATAGTCGGTAATAATTTTATTAGAAGACCCTCAGAGTATATTCTACGTAAAGAATTCTGTTCTTTTTTCATTAGGGTGGCATTAGTAAAATCAACGTTATGGACCTGTGTGTTTCGAGAAACTCTGAATGATTGTCTAAACATAAATCTCTTTTGCGTTCAAAGATATAAACGCTGTGTAAATGCTACTGTAGACATTAGAAAATGCTTTGAAAATAAACATATACTTAATTTTCAAATACGACAATACTTATCAGTCTTGCTTAAGGAATCATGTATTAAAGAAGTTTTGCTGCCCAAATACACAACACACACACACACTTACAAATATATTTGTAAGTGTTTGTGTAAGCTGTTTCATGCTAGACGCAATCGTCAGTATATATATATATATATATATATATATATATATATATATATATATATATATATATATATATATGTAAACAAATTTCAAAGTCATACCCTGCGACAACACGTAGACATTACCAACACTTAGAAATTACCAACACTTAGACATTAACAACACTTAGATATTACCAGCGTTTAGACATTACCAACGTTTAGACATTACAAACACTTAGACATTAACAACACTTAGACATTACCAATAGTTAGATATTACCAGCGTTTAGACATTACCAACACTTAGACATTGCCAACGTTTAGACATTACCAACACTTAGACATTAACAACACTTAGACATTACCATCGTTTAGACATTACAAACTTTTAGACATTACCAACACTTAGACATTAACAACACTTAGACATTACCAGCGTTTAGACATTACCAACGTTTAGATATTACCAACACTTAGACATTACGAAAAATTAGATATTACCAACTATCTGAACGTTATCACACAAAACCAGGATAACTCTCCCAAATGCAACATTAAAAAAAGTCTCAATAATTTGAACCAAGGATTCATATTCTTGACCAATTTCTCTGAAAATTTCTCAGTCTTTCGAACATACAACTTACCGAACTTCAAAAATCCATTTTAAATTTTTGACCAAAACACCACACACGAAATAAATGCAGCAACATTGCCAAACAAAACAAAAGTAAACATTTTATAAAACAATATCGTAAATTAACAAAACGATAACATTATCACATCCGGACTGAAAATACTTACCAAAAACCGAATCTAATCTGATGATGACTTAAGAAAGCCGAAAGTTTGGACTCCATTTTCTATGAAATAAACGTTGGACAATGTCTAATGGAATTTAGAATCCTGAAGAAGTACAATCAAAGTATTGAAATATGAAAGCTTTTGCGTAGCAATTTCAAAATATTTTTATTAAAATCTCTCATGATATATATATATATATATATATATATATATATATATATATATATATATATATATATAATAAAAAAAAGAAAGAAAAGTAAGATATTTAATCCAGTGTTCTTATTGATATTTTTATTTTTACAAAACAGTGCTCAATTTAAATTTACAGAGCATAAATATTATAAATTAACTGATTTAAAATATCGTTTCTTTTTACACAGGAATTACCATGTTTCAAAAACCGAAGCTAAAAACTTCAAATTTAATTATATAATCAAATTAAAAGCATTAGTTCTATTTCATCTTCAAGCGGATTTTGGAATAACTTATTTTTAAATTTACTGAGTTTTAAACGCACATACAATTCATAAGTTTTTTGTTTCCATGGATACAGAGAAATGCAATCATTTAGACCGGGGCGGTAGCGTGTTCATTTTTATTAACTATTATTGCATCAATTATAAGTTACGTTCGAAAAAGAGGTTAAGTCTAGGTATAGTAGGGGTGCATTTTTCAACAAATCATGACATCCATTCAACGCATGTCGTCTGGTTTTCTTTATCAACGAGAAAAAGTTTTTCGACATTTTTTTCCGTTGAATTCGTACTTGTATGCATGAAGATTTTTTTCTAAAAGAGATGTTTGGGTTAAAATACGTTATATTGAACTACAATTTTAATATATTATTTTTACTCTTTATTACTAACAGACTATATTTCTTTTTAAAACAAATAAATGTAATAGAATTACTTAAATTATTTAAAAAATTATTATTACTTATCAAATATAAGTATGTATATTACTAGTTCCCATTTTTTTAAAATTATTTTATTTTATTTTTAAGGAAAATTTTTGACAATGTCGGCAAAGAATATCTATTTCATTTCTTTGATTCAGTAATTTTTTATTTTTTTAAACTTAGTAATATATAGTTTCTCATGTATGCACAAAGGAGATGGATCATTTAATTACCTACATATTCTAGCTTTTTTTTAATTTCCATTTTACTGTTGGTGTTTTATTGGTTTCTTTTAAGTGCCAGAAATATTTCGATAGGGATGTCTGATTTCGGTATTTATTTATCCTAACAGAACTTTGATGTTCATTGAATCTCTTTTTGAACTCATAATTTGTGAAAACTATAAAGATTTTTATGTTTTCAGGATTCTCAGTAGATGAGATATTGCATTGGTATACTCAGTATATATATATATGTATGTATGTATGTATGTATGCATGAATATATATATTTGTGCATTTAGGTAGCAAATTCTCTTTTAGGCATGTCTGATTAAATAAATTGCAAACATATCTGCTTATTTTTAGTATAATCCATTTACACTAACGGATATTTTTCCGTGTATTACAATCAAATGATGCAAGAAATGCACTGTAACACTGGAAATCACTTTTATTTCCAAAGTACTTTCCATCTCTTTCCGCAATCATCATCAGAGGTGAAACTAGTAAGGCAAAAACAATGTCTAGCTATTCATTACTGAAAATTTTATTTTTGCGTTTAAATGCAACGGCTGACAGTTATGTTTTAGCGTTGATTAGAACATGAAAAATTATCCATTATGGATTTTTTTCTTTCATGTTGGAATGTCACGGTCAAGCGCGCATTAAAACGTGGAAACTATTCTTTTTACAGGCATGTTAGGACATTATTACAATATTAGTAGCTGATTCTATTCAGTGTCAGCTTTAATTTTTTAATATAGATTGCTTCGAGGATCTGTAGTTATAATTTGTTATTTTCTTGATGTAAGATAGTGTAGGATAGTTGTGTCATCAATCAGTATTTTTCTATACTGTGAATGTGGACCGGAATGTTGGTGTAAATGTATCGCAATAAACGAATGGTTAGACATATATAGAGTAAGAGGTCTTGATAATGTAGTTGTCATATATATATATATATATATATATATATATATATATATAGTGTGTGTGTGTGTGTCTGTGTAGGAAAAGAAAAATATATAGTTAGAAGAAAATTCCATGCCAAATTTTGTGAAAGGCAAAATAGCGTCACCAATTTTTTAACTCATTTCACTCCAAGCAACGCAGTAAATCCATTAAGACGCAAGGGGTTACTGTGTAATAGAGAATATTAGAAAAACTGCTATTAGGAGGACAATAAAATGGCAAGAATTAAGGAAACAGAAGATAACGATAGATCAAACTTGGCCTGGAACCAAGAATCCGGAAGAGAGTTCCACAAGTCGGAATTGCTAAGAAGAAACTGTTAGCATACAACTTTCTCTTACATCGAGCCATTTCAACTGTGAAATGACGAGACCTTACCGCCAATCTAGTACTGCGCTTAAATTCATATAGTCTACTTACTATAACGTTTTACGCTGCTTTCAAATTATGAAATTAGTAAAGAATATCAGATCTAAAATTTTCCCAAACATATTTTGCAGCTATTTTTTTTTTTCGATTCGTCTTCAATGTCAGGATCAGGAGCATGTGCAACAGAGAAGTTGTGTGGTCAAAAAGAAGCCGAATCGAGAACAGCAAAGAATTAATCAACCTCAACGTAGCTATTGAGCTAAATATTGAGCCCCAAGTTCACCAGAATATCTGTGCGCAAATAAGCTGAACATTGCGTCATACACCACGACGCCAAAGCATTTCCTCATGGTATTCATGATGGTCAGTGGGCTGAAAAGTTTCAAGCTGGCAGGTAAATAAAAATTAATGTGTCCACTGTTAAAATATTCACTGACGAGTAGTGCCGGACAATAATCTTTTGGGGCCTCTAGGCTAATGTAATTATAGGGCAGCCATCAGACGGAGCCTCTCTATAAGCAGACAACACCCTTGAATTATATTTTATATTATTATATTTTCATATCTCATTCTGATTGTTTTGCACGGAGATTCATCCAACTCAACATTCGACTCGTCCGGAGTACCCACATCTGATTTTTCCCCGAGAACTGAGGCTCTATAGAGTGAGATGAGCATAAAGCTGTCGATAGTATTGGATACCATCTCTAAATAAGGTTCTCATAAAACAAGTGGTGGTGACGGGATACCGGCCGTAGACATTCGTTGTCTGTTATATTTAGCAATATATATATATATATATATATATATATATATATATATATATATCCTTATTTTTTTCTATAACCCTAACCCTTTTTCCGTCTGTACCGTAGCGACATGTCTGATTGCAACAGACGTCTCTTTTGTCACTGCCCTTAATGAGTGCAAGCGTGTCCTCAATGAAGGAAAGTTACTCTTTGCCGAAAGAATGAAACAATGTATTGCATCTCACAAATTTTGCTTCTAAAGATCATTGGCGGCTCTACAGGAGTGTGCTGAACAACAGCAAATCCCAAATCACTTCCATATTCAATCAATTCGAAGTCCTGCCTTCTACAGCTGATAAGGCTGAATACTTTGCTCGGAAATTCTCATCCACCTCAACACTCAACACTCAACTCGTCCGGAGTACCCACATCTGATTTTCACCCGAAAACTGAGGTTCTATAGAATGAGATGAGCATAAACTCGTGCGACATTTACCTAGCTTGAATTAAACTTATAGCAAATTCTTTAAATGAACGAGAATAGCTATCTTTTTCCTGTTTACATTTCTAGGATGAGGAGTTATTTTTATTTAAACTATTTCCATTCGGACTGTTGTCCTCATCTTTATTGTTGTTATCACAACAACAACAACAGGGATCTGGTGATGCAGGTTATACTACCCTATACGATAATCCGGTCCTGCTGACGAGAAGCATTTCACAATGGACACCTAGATCACTGGTATATCACGTGGTCGGAAGTTTATATCAAGGGCACTTTCAATTGCAAGTATCCTGTACACGTTATATTTTTGGGTGCTGTTGAATGCTCAGTCAGGAAAAATATGTTTAAAGTGATAAACCTGCTGCATGAATAAATAAAAGATTTCATTACTTTATGAATTGCTTTCTCTACGCTCGGATACGAAACGGAGCAGATAGGAAATTTCGACAATCTGGGGTGGATTTGTACTACATTTGCATTGGCGGGAAACTTCCTGGCCGAGTCGGTCGAAAAAATGCCGGCTCTGACGACGGTTACTTCTGCAAAAGAGGGCGCAGGTTTGAATCATTTTCTTTAATAATATTCTCGAATATTCAAGCCGGTAGGGGGAAAGTAAAAACAAGGAGCGTCTACTCAGATAAACGGAGCATCTACTCAAATATGGTATAGTTTGTTTTGTTTTACGTTATACTCAGGACGAAGATACGAACAGACATAGATAGATAGATAGATAGATAGATAGATAGATAGATAATGAAAACAATGAGGTATTTAATGCCGACAATATTTTGTTGCTGGTAATATTTTTTTACAAAAAAATCTATTGCTGGTAATACAATTTTCCTCAAAAATGCATTGCTAGTAATATTTAGTTTCTTCAAAAATGTATGCTGGTAATGTAATAATATATTTCTGGTTATAATTTTTCCTTTAAAAAATTATTTCTTGTATCAAAACATATTTTTTACACTTTCCCAGTGATTTAACCCTAGTTGGGCCTCTAACAGGTGCTACCAACCAAGATCAGGATGGACCTGGAAACACCAGCAATTAAGAGGTGGTTCCACAATCCTCAGAACCTCCTGATCAGACGCCTTGGTCGTCGCTGGTCGACGCGAATGTAGTTCATCGTCTTACCCAGGACGCGGGAGTTTATCGTTTTACCCTGGACGTGGATGTTCATCGTTTTACCCAGGACGACGCGAATGTAGTTTATCGTCTTACCCAGGACGCGAATGAATGTTTTATCGTTTTACCCTGGACGTGGATGTATCGTCTTAGGATTTATCGTCGTTTACCCAGGACGCGGGAGTAGTTCATCGTTTTACCCAGGACGACGCGAATGTAGATTATTGTCTTACCCAGGACGCGAATGTAGTTTATCGTCTTACCCTGGACGTGGATGTAGATCATCGTCTTACCCAGGACGCGGGAGTAGTTCATCGTTTTACCCAGGACGACGCGAATGTAGTTTATCGTCTTACCCAGGACGTGGATTTAGTTTATCGTCTTACCCAGGACGCGGATGTAGTTCATCGTTTTACCCAGGACGACGCGAATGTAGTTTATCGTCTTACCCAGGACGCGAATGTAGTTTATCGTCTTACCCAGGACGCGAATGTAGTTCATCGTTTTATCGTCGACGCGAATTGTCCCGGACGTGGATATAGATCATCGTCTTAACCAGGACACGGACGTAGTTCATCGTTTTACCCAGGACACGGACGTAGTTTATCGTCTAACCCAGGACGCGGATGCAGTTTATCGTCTTACCCAGGACGCGGATATAGTTTATCGTCATATCCAGAATGGTACTCAAATATGTGTGTCCACTAAAAATGACATTACTGATAAAATCTGTCGGAATAATAAATAAAATATCTATTAGATCTTTAGAAATCGTCGCCATTCTTATAAAGCAATGAAGTAAAAGTGCGTGATCATGCCTGTTAAAGTGATCTGGTGTACGATGATCCTGACGGGGAAACTTTAACTACCTAGAGAGCAACTGTGTGTGAAAACAGGACAGTGTTTTCCGCCATAGGGACAATATATTAAGCAAAGCTAATTTATATTATTTCAAGTCAACCGATATCTAGTTATCCTTCAACTTGAAGTAAGGCAATATCGATGAGGTTTTTTCTTCTTCACAACACACACACACACAGATATATATATATATATATATATATATATAATTATTATTTAAAAATATGATTCCAAAACGCTACATAAGACGTCTCATGTTTCAAAACAAGAGCCGAAAACTTCAATATAATTATTTAAATTAAATTGAGTTAAAATAAGCTCTGTTCCATCTTCAAGCGAAATTTTTTTTTGGAATAACGTATATCTGAAATTTACGTGTTTTAAAAATTGAAATCAAAATTTCCATGGTAACAGCTAGGGCGAATTGTTTAAATTGGGTAGGCGAGTGTTGGGTGTTAATAATAAGTATCAGTAGAGAGTTACTTTTTTGTTTCAAAAAAATTAATAAATCTCCATAGACATGCAAACTAGACGAGGGTTAATACATCATCTTCCGTTTAAAATTTAGACACCCCTACCTTTCCCTGACTTGACATCTATGAAAGTAATTCTATACTGATACTTATTATTAACACCCAACACTCGCCTACCCAATTTAAACAATACGCCCTAGCTGTTACCATGGAAATTTTGATTTCAATTTTTAAAACACATAAATTTCAGATACACGTTATTCCAAAAAAAATTTCGTTTGAAGATGGAACAGAGCTTATTTTAACTCAGTTTAATTTAAATAATTATATTGAAGTTTTCGGCTCTTGTTTTGAAACATGAGACTTCTTATGTAGCGTTTTGGAATCATATTTTTAAATAAATAATTATATTTATGCTCTACTTTTGTATCGAGCACTATTTTTAAAAAATAATAACTAAAATACTAAGGGACTTTGGATTATTTACCTATCAGTTCCTTCCTATTTTCTATAAATTTTCACACACACACACACACATATATATATATATATATATATATATATATATATATATATATATATTTATATACTTGCGTATCATGCGACAGTTGAGGATCTACTTTTGAAGCTAGCTGGACTACATTAAATGGATATATAGTTTGGTCAACGACGTAGCCAGAGCCAGCAGTACATACACTAATTATTTATATCGTGTATGATACAAACGACTTAAAATTATATTCCAACTTAAGTCTTCAACAGTCACGTGATACGAGAGTTATACGGTATCAGTGAGTTATCTGACAAGCGTGACACACGCTTAGGCAAACATTTATTTTTCGATACATGACTGACGAGGAAGATTTTTCCTTCACTAGTTTGCCATTTCTTCCTGCGGTAGACCAGTTGCCATCCAAGGCTATAGACCCCGGTCTGTACTGCTATTTACACATAGCTGGGGAGGGAAGAAAAGGATTCATATATTTC